GACCTCACCGGGGCCGTTTCAACCTCACCAGGGCCGTCCCGACCTCACCGGGGCCGTTTCAACCTCACCGGGGCCTGGCCTCCTCTTTTGCAGCCCTCACTCAGGGCATCATTTCTTAGCCCAGTCAGTTGTGACGGCCATGCCCCCTCCTCAAGGACTCCAGAGCCTGACTGTTGGAGCCAGATGCCCCCAGGGAGCCTGGACGGGAGGGGTGGGCTAGGATGGGCTCCTGCGGGCACTGAGGGGTCCAGGGCTGGGCAGGCTTGTCTAACCCTCCCCTCATGCCTGGTCCCCCACAGCTTGTCTAACAATCAACTTGGCGAGGAGGCCTCCACGGTGCTGGCGGGGGCCCTTGAAGGCAAGAGCTGGCTGAGGAGGCTCGAGTAAGTGCTGAGGCTCATGCCGGGAAGGGCTGTTGGGAGCAGACCTAGCCACCCTGGCAGCTTTTGTGACCACGAACTGTCCAATCCCCGAATGGCCCAGTGAGCTGGGCGCCCTCCTTTTTACTCCCTGACCTGGCTCTGAGGGCTGTCACAACGCTTGCTCACTCCAACCCACCCAAGCCAGAGACGCACTGGCTCACGTCTCAGGATTTTACAAGGCAGCTGGCTTCAGGCTTGGCTGGATCCAGGTTCTATTTTTGTTCCCACCACCCCAACCCCGCCTTTCTCTCTGGCTCTCTCCCTCGCCACCTTTTTTGTTTGTTTGTTTAAATCCTCACCTAAGGATATTTTTTCCCATTGCTTTTTTGTTTTTTAGAGAGAGTGGAAGGGTGGGAGAGAGAGAGACAGAGAGAAACATTGATGAGAGAGAGACACATGGATTGGTTGCCTCCCGCATGAAACCCAGGCGTATGCCCTTCCGTCCACAGGCCGATGCTCTGACCCCTGAGCTAACTGGCCAGGGCTCTCTCCCTCTTGACTTCATTCTCAGGCAGGCTGTTCCTGCAGCTACAACTACTGGTACTTCCTCCCAGGACCTACCACAAAGGCCTTTGGTTGACTCTCACTGGACCAGGGCGGGTCACATGGCCATTCCTACACCCATCACTGTGGCTCTGAGCATGCCGTATTTTGATTGGCCCGATCTGGGTCACGGGCTCACCCAATGCTCTGGACGTCGTGGGGGGGTGGTATTTCAGGGTGCTATTCACAGAACAAAAGGAAACAGAATCTGGGCAGAAAAACAATCCACAGATGTCCACTGCCATTTGCCTACTGTCTTTTTTTAGGTTCTGGCAACATTTATAATTTGGAGTCACCAAATTCTTAGAAACACCAGAAACAGCCTCGGACTGAAGGCGAGGCCCCATCTCACACAGACTTAATAACATCTAGATGGGACATTTAACAGGGGATCTCCTGCTTTTAATCTCTGAGTTCTTCCCATGACCAAACACACACACTCATTCTAAAGTTCGTCATGGTAGAAATATGCAGCAGAGGACATGTGATCCCTGAGGGCGAAATTCCTGGGAAAACGACTCTGAAAGGACAGTTGGTAACCTTTGCTCCAGATTATTGACCTGTGTTTTGGATACAGTGCAGAAGTGGCCTTCTGACTCGTTCTTCTTCACAATGAAATTCTCCCCCTTTGACCCCCTTTGGCCCAGGGATGGGGGTGGTATTAGGGTGACTTTGACCAGAAGGCTCACGTGTCTTCCCACTGAACTGTCCCCCTCCATGTGCCTGCCCTCTGCTCAGCCTCCCTGCCTCTGGGAGCTTTTGTTTGGAGGGTTGGAGGCTAATGAGGTCATTCATGGGCCCATGTGTGTATTTGACAAATATGGACTCACCTGGGCACCTGGGCCAGGACCCGGAACTAGAGGTGCTGCAGGGAACAGAGCAGACCTGTGGCCCTTTCTCTTCTTTTTTAAAAAAAATATGTTTTTACTGATTTTAGAGAGAGAGAAAGGGAGGAGAGACAGAGAGAGAAACATCCATGTGAGAGAAACATTGATTGGTGGCCTCCTGCACGCCCCCTACTGGGGATGGAGCCAGCAACCTGGGCATGTGCCCTGACCGGGAATTGAACCGGCGACCTTTCGGTGCACAGGACCGTGCTCAACCACTGAGCCACACCAGCCAGGATGGCCCTGATCCTGGATATGTGGTCGCTCTGGTTACTGATCAGTAGTCTGGGTCCCGTGTGGTTCAGAAATGGAGCTGCTGCTGGGATGGCTGTCATGATTCGTGCCGGGAACCGGCGTTCGGCTTCCCCAGGGCAGTTCTGTTGTGTGCGATATTTTGGCACCGTGTGGATGGAGGTGGCTGTCTGGGCAGCTGGCATTGCCAAGCACTGAGGCCTCAGGCAGCTGGACTGACGGGCCTCGATCTGCACGTGGGGCCCAACCCCAGCAATGCCAAGGCCTCCTCTGGTTCCTCCCCTCCAGCCTCAGCCACGTCCCCCTGGACGACTCCACCCTGGCTGTACTCGCGCAAGGACTGAGCCACATGACCCGCCTGCAGAGCCTCTGGTGAGTGTCCCAGCAGCCCCATGGGCGTGAGTGGGAGGATGCGATCTCCAGCTCCACAGGGACCACCGGCTCAGGACGCACTGAGCCCCTGTCCTTGGGACATTCCGGCATCCTGCCAGCTGGTGCCACTGCCCTTTCCTTTCAATGCCACCAGCTCCCTCCCGGCTACAAAGTGGCCTGAGGGGTCGGGGCCAAGTCCCAGAACAACCAACCCTCCGTGTGCACAAACTCATCCTGCATCTGGTTCCCTGGGTCCGTTCGCCTAGATCAGCGGTTCTCAACCTGTGGGTCGCGACCCCTTTGGCGGTCGAAAGACCCTTTCACAGGGGTCGCTTAAGCCCATCCTGCATATGAGATATTTCATTAAGATTCATAACAGTGGCAACATTACAGTGATGAAGTAGCAACGAAAATAATTTTATGGTTGGGTCACAACATGAGGAACTGTATGTAAAGGGCCAGAAGGTTGAGAACCACTGGCCTAGATTCTGCGTTTCTAACCAGCTCCCTCGAGGTACTTCTTCTGGGGCCTCAAACCACACTGAATAGTGAAGGTCTAGACCAGCGAGTTCGACCTTTTCCATCGTGTGTCGCACATAGATGAATTACTAACATTCTATGACACACCAAAAAAAATGTTGATGTGACCCAAAAAAAGTGTATAATTTTTAAAAATATGTTTTTATTGATTGTAGAGAGAAAGGAAGGGAGAGGGATAGCGAGATAGAAACATCACTGATCGGCTGCCTCCTGCACACCCCCTACTGGGGGTCGAGCCTGCAACCCGGGCATGAGCCCCAACCATGGGTCAAACCGGTAACCTCTTGGTTCATGGGGCGACGCTCCACCACTGAGCCACACCCGTTGAGCAAGGGTATAATTTTGATTCATTCACACCAGACAGGTGTTATTGTGTTGGCTGTTGTCATTTTTTTTTATTTGACAATCTAACAGAAAAGAAGCCAGTGCCCTTGACTGCATAGTCAGGTATGGCATGTTCTTGTATGTGCTCTGACTGGGATTGAACCCACACCCCTGGCATAACAGGACGATGCTCTAGCCGACGGAGCTACCTGGCCAGGGCGGGTGCTGCGTGTTAAGAACGCCTGCGGGTACGTGTTGAAAATCTCCGGCCTAGACTCAGATCTGGTGACCTTGACAGTCTCCCCGGCGGCCCTGGCCACTTTGATAAACAAATATCACGAGCTCTTTCCATGTGGTATTTCAAAATACAAAACACGATGACTAAAAACAAACCCAAGCCCTAGCCGGTTTGGCTCAGTGGACAGAGCGTCGGCCTGCAGACTGAAGGGTCCCAGGTTTGATTCCAATCATGGGCACATTCCCAGCTTGCGGGCTTGATCCCCGGTAGAGGGCATGCAGGAGGCAGCCAATCAGTAATTCTCTCTCATCGTTGACGTTTCTATCTCTCTCTCTTTCCCTCTCCTCTTTAAAAATTAAAATATAATTTTAATTTTTAAAATTATATTTTAAAAATACACACACACAAATCCAAGCATGACACCAGGCATTGCTTTGTTCTTATCCCAGTCCACCCCCCCACCCCCCTGCCCCCCCAGCACTGTAGAGCGCTAGGAAATGAGGTCAGAGGGTTTGGGGAGCAGAGCATGTGGGAGCAGGCCATTTCCCCCATAATTTAAGGGAAGGCAGATGGCTAATTTTAATTTGCAAAAGAAAACAACCCTCAGACAAATAGCTAGTGTGGGGCTCCGTTTGCATGGGCTGCGTTGTTTTATTTTTTTTCTCACTCCCAGAGGCAGGGCTCAGGCAGGGCTCAGAAAAGACACTAGACTGGTTTGAGGCTAAGCCACCATTTGCACGGATTAGCAGAAGATGCCTAATGAATCCTCTGACCTCATTGCCTGAATGTGGAACCCACATGAACTTGGCACTCGGCGGGGCTGGCTGGAGATCCCTGATGTGGGGCCGAGGCCAAGTCTGCTCAGACCAGGACACGTGGCCTCTGCTCCCAGGCCTGCAGTCCTGGGCTGGCATTTCCGCCTGGCCAGGGGGCGGCCTTGAAACCAGCCCGGCTCCTCCCCGGGCCTCTGTTTCCTCCCCCGGACACTGGGGACAGTCATGCCCACCCGGCCCGGCCTTCCTCCCGAAGATTGATACTGGCCTGTGAGTCCCTAGACGTGTAAAGGCTTCGCAAGCTGTAGAGCCCGTAGCACAGCCCCTGCCCAGGCCTTCACTCCTGACGATGGCCTCCTGGCCTGTTCCCTGCCTCTCCAGCCTGAGTGGAGACGACATTGGTGACGTTGGCTGCACCCGCCTTGCCAAGGCCCTCGAAGCCGCCACCAGCTTGGAGGAGCTGGGGTGAGTTGCCTGTCCCCGCCCCCGGCCCCAGAACACGTTGGCAGGGGGAGATGACAAAAGCAAGAGGCTCCTTGAAGACACGCCTCACGTATTGGTGACACTCGTCGCCCTCGCCCACTCCTGCGCGGCGTAACCCCTGCCGTAGGGCCCGGGAAACCCAATGGTAGGATGTGAGCGTGTTGATGGCAGCAGGAGGCAGTGAGGGCAGACATCAGGCAGGACATCGTAAACACGGGATACGAGCTTGGAGTCGTCACCCAACATAGTGTGAGGGCCTTTATCTGTGAGCCTCGGCCTTTCTCCAGACTTCGGCCTCCTCCTGGTCTGGGATGGGGATGGGGATGGGAACCTGCCAGCCGGGGGGCAGGCGGATGCTTCCCGTTCTGCTGTTTTCTCTCCAAGCTTGAGCCACAACCAGATTGGAGACGCGGGTGCCCAGCACTTGGCTGCCGTCATGCCCGGGCTGCCTGAGCTCCGGAGGCTAGAGTGAGTGGCCAGCCCTCCCCACAGGGGCCCTCGGGGGCCGCCCCATGGTCTGAGGAGACCCTGGCTTCTGCCTCAGGCTGAACTTCAACTTCAGTGCCCAGTGGCGCTGAGTTACCTCCCGGCCTTGCTCACTTTGGGACCTCGAGCAGCCCAGCCCCTGCCCCTCTCTGGGCCTTTCTGCCCCACCGGGCTGGGAGGGTGTGCAGTGGGGATGCTGTCTCTTAGGGCCCCAGGAGATGGGGGGGGTGGAGGAAATGGGGGGTCCGAGGGTCTGATGTCTGCCCCCCTCCCTCCACAGCCTCTCAGCGAACGGCATCTGCCCGGCTGGGGGAGTGCAGTTGGTGGAATCCCTCGCCCTTTGCAAGCACCTGGAGGAGCTGATGTGAGTGTGTGCCCAGGGGACTGGCCTCCGCCCTCTGTGTCCCCAAGGCCCGCCTGGCCCTCATCTCCCCCGGGAGGTACAAGGCCGGGGTCTGAGGCAGCCAGCCAGGTGCTCAGCCTCATCCCTTCTCTTCCTCCAGGCTCGGCTGCAATGCCCTGGGGGACCCCACAGCCCTGGGGCTGGCCCGGGCGCTGCCCCCGCACCTGAGAGTCCTGCAGTGAGTGTCCCCGCCTGTGGGGTGTGCGGGGCTAGTGGGCGGGGCTCCTCCATGAGCGCTTGGGGGTCAGGGTCCTCGTCCCTTGAGCTGCCCTGCCTTTGGGCAAACTGGCATGTACTGGGCTGGCTGCCCGCTCTCCCGCCTGCTCCTCCCCTGCCTCTGGAGTCTGGGGAGCCTAGTCCAGGCGCGGCCACCGCCCTTGTGTGCCCATGGCCGGGCCCCGCCCCTCGAATCTCAGTTTCCTCATCTGCAAAAGAGTTCAAGGCTCCTGAGCGCATCTCTGAGGGTGAGCCAGGACGTGTCAGCAGGGGGCCATGCGGGAGAAGAGCGCCCAGCCGCACGGCCCAGCACTCTACAGTGTGTGTCCACGGTCTCACTGGGGCCTCGCAGCGGCCCCGTGGGGCTGGGGCTTTATTTGCTACGTTTCCAGGCAACAGAACTGCAAGCAGGAGAGGGGTGGAGAGCTTACCTTCCTAACACATGGAGCCAGGCCTTGAACTTGGGGTCTCGGACTCCAAAGCCAGGGTCCTTGATACGTCCTGGGTCCTGTGTGGCTGGGGATGGCCATGACCCAGAGACCGTCTGAGGTCTGGCGGCATAGCCTGAGACAAGGCTGTGAGTGGGGGATCCAGCCCCCCAGCCCTCACATGGTTCCCCAAGACCCCTTCCCCCTCCCCTTTCCCCAGCCTGCGGTCCAGCCGTCTGGGCCCAGAGGGGGCGCTGAGCCTGGGCCGGGCCCTGGACGGATGCCCACATTTGGAAGAGATCAGGTGAGTGGGTGCCGTGGAGCCTGGGCACGGGGACGGGAGGGGGCATCGGGGGGCTCCTCTCACAGTGTCTCTGCCCCTCAGCTTGGCAGAGAACGCCCTGGCCGGACAGGTCCCCCACTTCCGTCAGGGGCTCCCGCGGCTGAGGCAGATAGAGTAAGTAGCCCCCTGACTCCCTGGAGCTGGGCGGGAGGGTGGGGGGCAGCCCTCTCTGACACCTGGGAAGGCCTTTTTTTAAAAAATGTTTTTATTGATTTTAGAGAGAGAGGAAGGGAGAGAGAGAGAGAGAAACATCGATGAGAGAGACATCGTTCTGCTGCCTCCTGCACGCCCCCTCCTGGGGATCGAGCCTGCAACCCGGGCATGTGCCCTGACTGGGAATCGAGCTGGTGACCCCTCGGCTCATGGGTCGCTGCTCAACCACTGAGCCACACCAGCCGAGCGGGAAAGCCTTTGAAGCGACAGAGGCCTCAGGTCCAGGGGAGCCTGGGACCAAAGGGGGCACTTTTCTAAGACTCCCACGTGCCCCAGCCCCTGGCTACTCCGCTCCCTCCTGCTCAGGGCACAGCAGGGGGAAGGGGCTGGGGAGCTGCCTGACTCAGACACCTCCATCCCATCTGCTCTTTCCCCAGCCTGGTTTCCTGTGAGATCGACGACCAGGCTGCCAAGCTCCTCGCTGCCAGCTTCATGCTCTGCCCGGCCCTGGAAGAAATCCTGTGAGTGCTGGGCCCCGGGGCGTGGCCCTGGCCTGCTGTGCCAGGGAACGGCTCCCTTCTCCCCAGAGCCCTCCGGCCAAGTGGGAAGGTCATTCTTGCTCAGTTCTCCTCTGGAGGAAGTTTTCACACTTGAGCTGCAAGGGGCACAGGTGGGCACTGTGTCCACAGCCTCGCGTGCCTGTGTCCCTGCCTGTGAGTGGTGGGAGGGGAGGTGGACCAGCCGGTCCCTAGAGGCTCTTTGCCCCTGACCTTCCCTTTGGGAGGTGGCTGGAGAGGCCGCCTGGCCTGGCTTATGGGACCTTGATTTACAAACCACCTGTTGGTAGTGAAGAGTAGCTGAAGCCAGCAGGCCCCCACCTGCCCACTGGCCTTGCCCCACCCCCACCCCCTTGGCAATCAGAGGCGTTCAAACCTTACCTGGCTGGTGTGGCTCAGTGGTTGAGCATCGACCTATGAACCAGGAGGTCACGGTTTGATTCCCAGTCAAGGGCACATGCCTGGGTTGTGGGCTCCATCCCCAGTGTGGGGTGTGCAGGAGGCATGTGTGTGTGTGTGTGTGTGTGTGTGTGTGTGTGTGTAGAAAAATAGGCAACAAGTAATAACACAAGAGGTGCGTGGATGTGACAAAAGTCACGATGGAGCACACCCATGGTGGGAGTTTGGACCATTACAAACCAAGTGTCCTGGACTCTGGGGACAGCCGGGTCCTGAGCTGCCTGGTTCTGAAGGATGACCAGCCTGGGAATGGGTTTGGGGGAGGAGCCACCTGTGCCCTGAGAAGTCTCAGGGAGGGCACACAGCACCCCATCAGGGACTCTGGAGCCTGTTGGCCCAGCCCTCCCCCTCCCTGCTCTCCTGACGCTGACCTGGGCCCCTGTCCTGCAGGCTGTCCTGGAACCTGCTTGGGGACGAGGCGGCTGCCGAACTGGCCCAGGTCCTGCCTCGGATGCAGCGGCTGAAGAGTGTGGAGTAAGAGGGGCCCATCCTGGGAAGCCAGGGGGGCGGGGGGGGCAGAGGGGACCTGCGTCCTGGGGTAAGCCCAGAGGCCATGGGTCAGGCCTCTGCCTCCAGGAAGCCCTCCTTGCCTAGCCCTAGCCTAACCCTAACCCCTAGACCCTAAGCCCTAATCCCTTAACCCTTAACCCTTAGCCCTTAAACCTTACCCTCACCCTCACCTTTGACCCCTGACCATCGACCACCTGACCTTTAGCCTTTGACCCTTGGCCTTTGACCCCTGACTTTGGCCCCTGACCCTAACACTTGACAGCCCTAACAACCCTAACCCTAACCTTAGACCCTAGTCCAGCCATGGGCAAACTACGGCCCACGGGCCGGATCCGGCCCATTTGAAATGAATAAAACTAAAAAAAAAAAAAGACTGTACCCTTTTATGTAATGATGTTTACTTTGAATTTA